AATGACACACTGATCATTGTATAAGAAAAGCAGAGCCTGCCTGTTGCCAGCTTAAGAAAAAAGAAAATGAAATATAATTGCTACCATCAAATATTAATTTGGCAAAACTGGAGCACTCATTGTTAAGTGCTTTAACAGCCTTAACTATTTAATCCTGACAATATTCCTGGGAGGTAGTTATTACATACCCTTTTTAACAGATTGGGAAACTATGCATAAGAGGATATGAGACTTGTCCCATAGCAACACATTCCACCAACACAATCACTAGTATGGAGATCCTATCTGTTGCCCTTAACTTAATGGGCAGATTTTTATGGTTTGGCTGAGGTGTGCTCACTGTAAAACCAGAAAGGGGGTGAAGGGAAAAGGTGGCTTTGCAAAACTCTCGGTCTGGGCCTCATCATAAAATAGAGCTGCTCCAGGGCTCTATTTTACACCCAGCTACCCACAGCTTCAAATCAGACAGGTGTAGAAGAGCTCTAGTCATATCTCCTTTTTCTGAGCCATGTCCCATATTCTAGGAGCTGGTGATGGAGGTGTCAGAGGCACTCTGGTATCTCTTTGGCAACTGGCAATTCTCCTAGGCAGAGGAAATCCTCCTCTGCTGGTTAATGGTAGGTTTATGGCCATGAATCAGGCCCAGTGACTCATGAAGGAGCAGGAGGAAGGATGTAGGTGGACATCTAAGAACCCATTTAGCAGGTACATGTGAATGCATCCCTGGAACTCTGGGTAAAGACTGCACACCTGTTACTACATCCCATTGTTGGATGTATCTTGTGGGGCCAGCTCCACAGGCTGGTGCATAGGGGGAACAAAGTCATGGCTCCACCTCCTCTCAAGCCCTTTTGGGGTGCCACGTGCCCTCAGCAGAGTAGAGATGGAACAGCCCCTGTGCTGCTGTGAATGCAGGGGCTACAGTTTTGCCTGCCCTTAGGTGGGTTATGCAAGGAGTGGGGAAAATTTGTTAGACACTCATCCTTCCACCCTCACATAAGACCATGGACAATATGGTCCAAAGAGAACATTGAATAGGGAAGGATTTTCTCCTGAGGTCAACTTCTTCCTTCAAGATCCTGATGCTACTAAGACAGGTGTGTTCCTCACTATGGAGGCAGCCTTGCAATGAGCTGCATGCCTGCTGACACCTGACCCCTCACAGGATCCAGCCCTAAACTTTACATAGCATTATTTTTTTCTTCACTGTTTCTTCACCATTATATTAAAGAGCTTCAGGACCAAAATTAAAATATGAGAGAAGCATTTTGTTATTACTTTGTCAGACAAGCAAGCCCATCCCTGTGGCCTAGAAGTAGTACTCTACCAGCCGAGACACGTTGGGTCAATTCACTGTCCTAACTGCTTTCTCTCTGGGTCCCCTTCACTTGCAGAATATACAGGCTTATTGTATTTTGGTGTGATCACATCTTATAGTGACATTTTATTTTCCCCTCACTGCATTTCTTAGTGACCAGTGAGTGAATTAAAAATAAAAAGTCATTTAGAACATAAAGAACATTGCACAACAGATATATAAAAGGTGACACTTTGGGGAGTCCTGAAGATGATGGCGTCGCTTCAAATGCTTGACTTCAAATGCAAAGAAATCAGATTACAAAACCAATTAGACTGTGTATCTAGTAACCACATCTTAAAATAAATTACACACACAAACTTATGTTAAAATAGCACTAAGGTTGCAAAGTCAAGCACTCAATAGTTCAGAAATGCCAGAATTAAGCTTACCTATGCAATGTTAATTCCACCGCCCATTTGATTCTGGGCTGCTTCAGGGGCTGAAATGCTACTGAAATGGCCTTTGGAGTAACTTAGGAAGCCCGGGAGATGCCCTAAGTTACAGCAGCCTATCCCGGACTGCCTATGGGCCGCCACGCTATCAAGAATGCCCGTAATGTTATGCCCTGCTGTTGTGCAGGGGCCTGTACTCTAAGTTGTCCAAGGTAACAAAGGTCCAGCTCAGTCTGTTATATAAAATTCTTTATACAGGTCAGTAAAAGTTAAAGACAGACTGAATTAGTTCAAATTTAAAAGTCTACCCAAGGATTGAAACCCAAGGATTGTGTTGAGATCATGACAGGTAAACAAGAGGAGAATGGAACTGGAAATTAATGGCCTACCACTGGTGCATTGGAAATTAGGTCTAATTGGAGCAAATAACGAGGGGATAGACTATTGCACCCATCACTCCCTTTTGGGGTCCTTAAAAAAAGACCTTGGAGGGGGGAACCCTGGGGACAGCTGGACTGAAGGGCAAGGTTCACCATTCCAGCCGCTCTCACCATCTCTTGGGGCCCTGGGATCCACCCTGACACTCTGGGCCTTCATCATTGTGATCCTGAAAGATGTTCAGACTAGACTGGGCCAGAGTCAGGGGACTGATGACATCACCACTTCCAGTGGATTCCACTAAATCCTGAATGCCACCTGGGATGCGACACTTGAGTTCCTGCTGTCGCTCACCCACTACCCTTATCCCTTCCACGTCATTTTCCTTCCTTATCTTATTTCTTTTCTTTCCTCTCTCTCTATTTTTGCCTTCTGTTTAATAAAAGTCTGGCTTAGCTGGCCAAGACTGTCTCTTTTGCAACACTGCCATGAGCTCGTGACCCAAAAGGCAGCTAAAAGCAATGTCATATACAGCCCAATGCTGGTACAAGTTTGCTAGGTCTTGGAGTGGCTAATAAGATGGGGTGCCGTGTCTATTTCTTTAGCCGTGAAGTTGCAAGTAAAAGTCAGCACCGAAGACAGGAGTTGCATTTAATATCACTGTTCTTTTCTGTCCCTTTCTGTGTGCATTTGGGTTATTTTGTTGGTTTGTTTTAAAGGAAGCAGAATCAGATTGCAACAACAGCACCAGATCATCTCAACTAATATTCTCTTGTCCCCAAGGATAGTTATTATAATCTATAATACCATCTACAATACTGTCAAACAGGCAGTTTCCCATATAGAAACTCTCTACAGTTAGAGCGAAGGGGAATAAGGAATATTGTTAAAATTAAAACTTTCCTTAATACTTCACATTTTAAATTCTTTATTCTTCTTTTTCTATATCATTAATAAAAATATATAATGGTGGTTGTTGCCATGGAACTAAGCAGGCCAAAGTCTCTGTATTCAAAACCTCCCAAAATGTTTAATTGTTTAGATTGTATAGTCACAGGCTATGTTAACACCTTTGACTCTCTGTGCCCATTTATTCCATCAAAATTAACACAGCACTACATGTCCCCATCTCTGACACACACCCTGTACCAGGGCACAAGGGAGCAGAGAGTTGAGTAGAGCTACTTATGGCAGCCCAGCACAATGCTCATTATCAGGGACATTCTCCTCCCAACAGTTACAAGCCTTTTACAGCCCCGGCGCGTGCTGATGTCCCAGGGATGTCAATCTGACTCATAGTTTTTGGCAGTGATGCTTTAGGTCATATTTTTCTTTCCTTATCTATAAGAGAAAATTATGTCAGATGTAGATTTTATCTACAACTACAGTAGCTCTGAAGGGAAAAGCCATAAGCAATAAAAATGTAATGTTATATTTTTTCTAAAAAAAATTATAAATGAAAGTGTTTCAGATTTGGAACCACTTAGGGTGAAAAACAAACACTATTTTGTGATTAATATTTCTAGACACAAAATACTGAGCACATTTTAACTATGTATAAAAATGTTCTTGAAACTCTACTGCTCATTTGCTCATGGTGACTTTATAGTTTAATTTATAAGTACTTAGGCTTTGAAGACAACTCCTTTCTGCTTTTGATCTAGTCAGCGGTGGAGGGATCCTCTTCAACCCAGAGGAGAAAGTGTTATAGTGTTACATTTAATCAGAATTTGAAAGAAAGTGCATTTGTGAAGAGAGCAATATTTTTAAATTACGTGCCAATTTATTTTTTTAAAAAATATTAGCATATAAAAATGACAAGCCAAAAATTTCTTAATTGTCTTCCTTTCAGCGGATGTGAAATATAAACAAAACCGGTTATGCGGAAAGTGTGTTCTGTATCCCAGAACATCTATAAATACTTAGCAGCTTTTAAATTTAAAAGGTTTTTCATTTTCTGTTTTTCTTCATTTCTCACCCTCTGGAGTTTGAACCTGTGGCATTTTTAGAATAAGCAATTGTGAATAAAGAGCCATTATAATGCAAAATTCAATTAAATCATTTTAATGGCATCTGTTCTTGATTGACAAGTGGAATTGATTCCATACAGAGAGCTCCTGTATGACTGGAAGCAACTGTTCTCATTTATGTATTTTATTTATTTCCATTTATATTTGTTTAGCCTTTCAGCATCTATTTTGATTGATGGCCCTTTAGTATTTCCCCAGATTTTGTCTCCTTTACTTCCCCATGATCTCAGTGGCTTTGTAACCCCGGAATTCCTTTTTCAGCCAATAATGGGAATTTCTTTTTACTATAGATTACTTCAGAACAATTCAGACCTAGAGCTGCAACAGTATGAGTTGGAGAATTTCCAGATCCTGATGTTGCTACCTGCCTAGTAGAAAGTATCTTCCCACGCATTTGAGGTAGGGGGAGGAATGCAACTATCACCTAAACAAAAGGAAGGGGGAAGTGAACAGCCAGCTTCCTCCTGAAGAGCCAGGAGAGGGAAGCTAGCTAGTCACCCTCAGAAGATGTAGGAGGGCTGGTAGGCAGCCAGTGGGACTCTCTCCAAGAAAACAATAGAGGATAAGGAGTGGGGTTGATACCAGTCTCTTGGAGATAGTGGTGGAAAGCTGAGTAGAGTCCAAAGGTTTGTATAAACTTCAGATAAGCATCATAGAGACATTTGGATGCTTATCTAAATCAAACTGGGAAGTCTGAAACTTTTGAGATTCTCTCTTTCCTAATCAAAAATATGCAGGTCAAATTGCAGATAGAAATTATTTTTCATTTCAAATAGAACATCTAATCAGCTTTAAAAACATGTTAATTCTATTTTAAAGAAAAAAATGCATCACGCTGTGTTTTCTTGCAGCAGATTTAAACCTTGTAGCCTACACAGCTCAAACATGAGTGTATTGAGGGAAAAAGAAGGTCAGAGTTTCATCCTCCATCCATGAGCAATCACAGACTTCTGGTATCTGGAGAGATGAGAATGTATGGGAATATCTGCAATCAGCATTTCCTGAGGAATTTTCTCCCGTATGTGTTTTCTTTCTTCTCCATGGCAAAGTCTTTCTCTGTGCTCCAGAAACAGACTATCTTCTGTGGCGCCAGTATATATCCCAACAACATCTGCATGCTGTGTAAAGAAATTCCAATGGTTGCCTATGAAAAACTAATTTTTGCTGAACTAACTCCTTTAACAATTATACTATTAACTGAAAAACCTAATTGATATAACAACCTATTAACAGATGGCTCAGTAAATAGAGGAAAACAAAAAAAACAAAAACAACCAAAAACTCTAGGCCAGGGGTGGCCAAACTTACTGACTTTCTGAGCCACATATGACAATCTTCAGAAGTTCGAGAGCTGGGGCATGCCTGCCAGGGCTTAGGGCTTAAGCTCCACTCCTGTTGAAGCCCCAAGCCCCGGAAGGTGTGCCCTGTGGGGCTGAGGGATCAAGACCCTCCTCCCCACTGGGCAGAAGCCAGAGGCGATGCATGGGGGAGGCATGTGCGGTCACATACCCCCCCAGATTTTTGCCAGGGGTTTGCTGACGCCACTCAATCCCATGGTGCTGACGGGTCCCCTCCCTGCATGGCAGCTGGAGCTGGCAAGCTGGGAGCTGCAGCCATGGGGAGAGGCAGCAGCAAACAGCTGGAAGCAGCAGGGAGAGCAGTGGCCCCTCCCTGCAGCTCCCAGCTGTTTGCTACTGTTTCTCCACTGGAAGCTAACATGTGGGAGGTGCAGGGACCGACAGCTGAGGGTAAGAGGGGAAGTGTGGCTGGTGGGGAGTGACTCAAACTGCTGGGGGTGGGGGGTGCAAACTCATTATATGTGAATTTGAATTACTTCTAACTTTGCAAATTGATTAGCAAAGCGTGCCTTTCTCAGGAAGGACTTATATACGTGTGAAGCTTTAAAACAACTAATGATGCTTGAATTATCCAAGCATATAAAAAAAAGTATAAGAAAGTTTTTAAAAGAAGGAAACATTTTTCCTCGTTTTAGTAGTTCTAGAAAGGCTCAACAGATTTTTTTTTTTAAATTTACGATAAGGCTGAAACAAAGAATGACAAATCTAAGCCTAAAAGGAAATATTTTGAGAAAGCTATAAGTGACTGAAAATAAACATCTGTAGTGAGATAACTATCTTAGCCATAGCTAGTGTCCCCTCTGTGACATTATAGTGGCAAGAAGGAATATATTACTCAATATTTTAGGGGTCTAAATGTTTCTGAATTTGAGAATGGTTTAAAATGTACCCCAGCGTGTGGTGCTTTACAGACAAAAATATGCAGTTTGGTTCATTTTTTGCCACTTTTATGCTGATCATGCTCTGTTGTATATTTCTTTTCATTCCTTTAATAACGTAGCCTGTCTTGACCAAATAAACTTACAGCTTCTCAGTTTCCTTTAACAAAATGTGTCAGAGAGAATGGCTTTCCTTGGGAAAGTGAAACGTCCTCAAGAACACATCTTAACCTCTTCTACTTAGGGCTGGTCTAAACTACACAGTTCAGTTGAGTTAAGGTAACTTACGTCAACCTAATTATGTCTGTGTCTACACTACAGCCTTCCTCCCGCCGATGTAAGTGCCCAACTATACCGACATAATAACTCCACCTCCACGAGAGGTGTAAGGCTTATGCAGGTGTAGTGAGGGCAACGCAATGTCTGTGGCAGGAGACGTAAATTGACAAGAAAGCCAGGTAGCTAGAGCCCAGCTGCCCCCCATTTCCTGGAGAACTGAGTGGCTGGGAGCTGGGGCAAGAATGGACCCTGCTCCTGGCTGGGAACCAGGGTGAGAAGCCCAGAGGACTTCCCCCTGCTTCTGGAGGGGAACAGGGAGCCGGGGGCAGCCTGACAGGAGCCTGTGGGGTAGCCAGGCTCTTGGCAGAGAGCTGCCAACAGAGCTGAGAGACCGGGCTCTCAGCTCCACATAGTGCTCCTCTTAGGTTGGTGGAAGTGTTCCTGGTGAGGACCCGCATCACCGCCCCAAGGAGGGTAGTGTGGACATGCACCACCATAGTAATTACTGCAGTGGCTGTAAGTTGATTTAATATGCTCACTTACCTTTCTAGTGTAGACATACCCCTAGGCTCTCACCTCAAACCTTCCATTTGTCCCCATTAGTAGTAATCCTAGCATCATCAGCTCCTGCAAATCTTTTACTTTTACATCTATCTATGCAGACCTATCCATTAGCATGTTCACAATATCACTCATATACACAACTGCCTCAATACCAACTCTGCCTTATCTCCTCTCACCACTATTACAAGGTATCCCATATAACCACCTCTTCAGAATCCATTACATATAGAAAATTAGAATGCCACAGCCCACCTTCTCACACGTACAAAGAAGCACAATACATTCCCACCTTCCAACAGCTCCACTAGCTCATCATTTATTTCAGAATCCAGTTCAAATTTGCCTTCTAAGGAGTTGCTTTAGTCAATCTTCAGTTTGTTAAGACTTTACTTAGTCTACCTATTTTGTATTGCTTCTTTCAATAATCACTATTGCTAAATGCCTGTACAGAGGGAGAGAGAGGGAGAAAGAAGGACTGAGAGGTATCGCCAAGGAAGGAAAGACATGTTTCAGCTGAGATTTCATATGAGATGTACAGTCAAGAGGAAGAAATTCAGAACTCAGGAAGTTTGTTTCTGATGGCACAAGCTACAGAGTAAAATGTACTTCCACCAACAGCGGCAAGGTTGTGCAGAGACAATAATAAATACGGTTGCCTGGCCAGATTTTCAGAAGTGAAGACAATGGGAAGTGTGTGTGCCCTGCATCTTTGGAAATTAGGCCACTATTATATGGTTAACAGGAGGAAATATTTTTCTGGTCCCACTACCTTTAAAGTGAATTTCCTGTTCTTCATATCTTCTTTCCAGGGCATCACATAATGTACAGGAATCATCCCATGTTTGTGTGAAAGCTTTGGCAAATGGCAGTGAACAAACCTGTGGGGAAAAACATTTTTAAAAAGACAGTGCAGCAGTGTTAGGACAGAAGACTTAGTTGGGTTATTAACTGACACAACCAAGTCCATATAATTCATAGAGGGGGAAGTCTTTAATATAATTATAATTAATAAAAATATTGCTTCTTCCCTTACTGCCAGGCAAGCTTATCATCTAACTGAAATTTCATGTTTTCCTGGGACACTATGCTGAACCAACAAATGTTTTTTCTTCCGGTATTTAGCATAACAGTAAAGAAATTAATTTGATCACATGAATTGAGGAGTGTGATTTCTTATGCTTCCAATTACTGCATGCCCTCCTCACCCCCACGCAGACACCAGATAGGAGCAGAGCTGGCTTTGTACTCTGGCACAGCTAGGGGCTAGCAGGGGCATAGTTTGTGAGTTAGTCCTCCATTTGTGGTGGGACCCTGGGGTCTGCATCTGGCTGAGCGTGGTCCTGGTGCTCTACTCTTTGTGCAGGGTGCCCACTGAGGCAGAGGAGAATGGTGGTATTTCCGTCTGTAAGCCCAGGGATACAAGGGGCCTGCCTGGCACTTCCCAGACAAAGATGCTTCCTGCCCTGAGGACGGCAACAATCTAGTTTAGAAACAAGCCACAGAACAAGGGGTGTCTGCCAATACCAGGCAGTCTGAGGCAGGGCCAACCTCTGTGCTGGAAGGTACCCGGTCTGGGGAAAGCCCTGGCCGCTGCCAGTCTGAAATCTCTGCAGACCCGCTCCCTCAGACACGTGGGAGGGAATAAGCAGAGAAGGGAACGGCGGGACAGCCGAGGGGTGACTGACGGCACTTCGGGAGGGTTGAGAGATTAGCAGGGGGACCCCCATTAGCCCCTTCAAGCTGGCTCTGTCCAAAAGCAGACACGGGAGTGCCGGGGGGATGTGCGGGTACGGGGGTGGGGGAGCTGCTGGGCGCGCCAGCCGCAGCTCCGTCTTCCTCCTCCTCCTCACCCTTTGAGGTCCGTGTTGGTCCCGACGGAGACCATGGCGGCTGCAGCTCACCCGCGACTCCCCCCGCCCGGCCCCTCCAGCGCCGGGGCCGCTCTGGCGTGGGCGCCTTTGTGACGCTGCCGCCCACGTTCCAGAAGGCGGCCGGGCTGCGGCTCGCGGAGCAGCGCCTCTGCACTGCACCTGCGGCCAAGCCAGGGCTGGCCTTGCTCCGGAGACGGCATTGCCCGAGGCTTCAAGGGCAAGGGGCATGATACCCCTCCCGCCTCCGCAGCCTTTCGTGCCAGCCCAGAGACACCACGGAGCCTTCGCGCTACAGACGTGACTGTCAAAGGCGGAGGCGAGCGCGGAACGCCAGGAAGGGAGAACGCGCTCGACCACCGCCACCACCAGCGGCGCTGGGGGAAGGTCGACCCTCCACCCTTGAATTCATTCCCGGTACCTAATGGGACGCTTAAGTGTTCCCTTAACTAGTACGTTTCCCAGAACGGAAGGGACCCTTGGGAGTTAAGGTTTAAAAGGAGATACAAACAGGGGAGAATGTGCAGGGGAAGGGTTAAAGTGATTAACCCCGTTTTTGGTTCATTGCAGTGAGGGAACTTGTGCTCAGCGTCATCGCCATCGCGCCAAAGATACTGGTTCTCTGAAGTGACCTGGGCACAGTACTTCATTTGTGCCGGCGCTGAGCCTCGCACCAGTCATAGCCCCCCTCTGAGCTTGCTGCCTCACTTATGAAAGTAAAAAAATTGCTTGAGCCCTTGCACCTCTTTCATTACAAATTAAGTACCGCCTGAGCACAAATTGTTAGGTAATTAATATCAGCTTAAAGCCACAGTAGGGAAGATAGCTCATCCCCATATTAATACCTAGCCCAGGTTGGTTTTTCAGCAGTAAAAAAAATTGCTCTCTCATGTTTTTACAGATGATCATATTGCTTTGTGCAGTTAATACCTGGAAAAACTTTTAAGAAAGTCACAAGAAGCACCAAAAAAATTTAAAGCTGTAATCTTTATTTTATTTTTTGCACTCTACAGCTGTAAACTGAGCCAAATATGGGAAACTTCACCTCTCTTCTCCTAGATAGATCTCACAAATGCAGTGTCTTTATGTTATTTGCTATAGGTCAGGCAAATGTGTTTCTAAGTGATTTTAAACTACTCCATTCATCTTTTTCCTACTTCACTATTATGGCTGGTAAAAGGTCATAATTTTGGGTATGGTATACAGCCACTTAACTCACTTTTTGCTAACAGGGGCTCTATAAATCTAAACAGCAAAGTGTAGCAACAGAGGACAAGTCCTGAGGATGCTAAATTTCTCATTCTTTTAAAAATTAAATAATTGAGAACAGCCATACCTTTTCAGTAGATACAAAACACACTTCCACAAGTCACTACTGTTGAAGGATGATCAAATTTATGGATACTCTTCCTATAGATTTTTTTCCTAAGCTTCAGATATTTTGGAATGTGTTGAATTTAACCATTTTAAACAGAATTGCATATGGATGCTACTGTATATTGTTTTTCTATTGCTCTTGTATTCTCCTGAAAGTAATGGAAGTTTTAGATGGGCAAAAGTTACAGGATCAGGCTTTTTGTTTTGGAAACATTTTAGACTGAAAACTAATGTGTGTTCCATTCACAGAACACCCAACTCTAAGTAACATTAAGATGTCATATGTTAGTGCTGCATGAACAATCTAGCACACTCAAGTTCTTCTGCTATATTCCAAACAAAAAGAATGCTCAGCACTTATACCAAGTACCATCTTCAAAGTGCTTTACCAACATTAACTAAGTTCCCCTCACAACTCCTTTGTGATCTTGGTAGGTATTATCCCCATTTTACAGATGGGGAAAAAAATGAAACAGAAGGCAAGGTGACAGATGGGATTAGAACTCAAAATTCCTGACAGTCCTGTGCTCAAATCTCTCTACACATTCTCTGAATATTGTAAAGGTAAAAATCATGCAAAAATTTTAACCTAACACTTTTGTTTCTGCATGCATACAGAATGTGGAGCAGACAAATCCTTGAAGGAAATCTCAAATTAGCATCTGACCCATTCAGCAAAAAGATCAGTCATGATCAATAGACATTCAGAACAATGGTTTGAATGACTTATGTCCCAAATATTGCAAAACTGTATACAAAAAAGGTAGCCAGCTCAGTTCATCGTCATAAGAAATGGGAGGGACCTGAGCCTTTTATAAAGTTACGCCTAATGTACTACCCACCATTGATTACTTTGAGAAAATAGGTTGTTACCTAAGTGAGTGAAGACCGCAGAGTAACCTAGTTGCTTTTGAGCAAACCCACCAGAGAAGGTTTTACAGGACTTTTAGTCCTATAAAAAATATTTCTCAGTACTTTGCCATATTAAAAATATAGGACTTTTAATATCAATATGTATTTTATATTATCAAAATGCTTTTTCCCACCCATTAGATTTAGAAGCAGCGCCTGCTGGAGTATGACTTTTTAGCTTTGACAGATTAAATATGGTTTATTGTTTAAACACTAGCCCTGAGTTTATTCCCAAATTTGCCAACTAAGTGAAAATCATCGGCAACAGATTTTGCATGACAGAGAATTATCTAAAACTGAAGGACACAATGACCAGACAGATAAAATAGGACATGTAACGCCTCTACCATGCACTTATATTTAGCTAATTATATCAAGTTATCTCCAAAATACAAGTATTTCCAATCATATTTACTTGTGCAATTTCTGAAAATAAGTAGTCAGAAAAGTATAATATAAAAGGCTGATTTAATGGGTCAGAGATTTAGTTCTCCTACGTATCCAGTCCATTAATGACTAAAAGATCTCCAGATCATGAGCATTATCAATTTCAATGGCATCCTCCGGATCCAGCTTTGTTTCACCATGTCCTTCCTGTAAATCATCCAAAGAAGCCAGGGCCTCATTTGTGTCACTAGCAAAAGTTTCTCGAGATGCATCATCATACTCTTGAAGGTTGAGCCCTTTAATAGCTTGTTTCATCTTCTTTCCTAGAACCTGTATTCTCCTCTTTTTAGCAGCTTTTTTGTTTTCATACTCCTTCTGGTTTTCAACATAGAAGATTTCCTTGAAGAGGAAAATATTTATTTAATATGCTGATTATGCAAGTGTTTGCCTTATAACTGCTAAGGAAAAAAAACCAAGTGGAAAAGACACTACATACATAGTCATGAATATTACTACCTTTATTAATCTTTAAAATAATAACTGCCACTAAGCCAGAAAGGGTTAAGCAACTGGCAGGCTAAGTGACCCAAATTCAACCTTGAAAGACACATTAGAAAAGTATATAAATGGTAATCGGGGCTATTCCTTATAAATAGCTAACAAATCCATGTTAAATAGACTAGAGATTTGAAATGTAAACTTGTATTATTAGAGAATTGGAAGAAGAAAGTGATTGTAGTAGTCTATGGTTACCAATCTAGAGGTTAACAATGTAACCAAACCGCTCCTGTTACTATATTCTATTGATTCAGAGATCAAAAAGGGGACATTTAGATGGAACTTGGGTGTAATAATATCATTGTCTATATTTCTTTTTGAAGTTTGTAGTAAACTGTCTATAAGTTTGCTTAATGGATAATTACCTTATGCTAATGAATGCAACTAGTTACCTGTAAATACATAGGAAATAGGAGGTTTTACTTAAAGCCACAATGTTTTACCCAAAGAATACCTGCTGTCAAGAGGCTGACAGAGAACTATGAAAAGAACTCATGGGCCCTGATCCTGTTATCTCAGCTCTGCTTAAGCTTTGTCAGGGAAGTCTGAGTCACAAGACTAAGGTCTCCAATTCCAGTCAGTCACCTTGATATTGGACTATAACCTATGGAACTAATGCTTAAAGGACTCTTTGCAGCTCTAAAGCTCACCATCTCTACTGTGAAACTGCACTTAGAACTCTATTCATATCTGCATGTATAATGATCTTTTAAACCAATACTCTCTTCTTTTTTAATAAATTTTAGTTTAGTTAATAAGAATTGGTTGTGAGCATGTCTTTGGGTAAGATCTGAAATATTCATTGACCTGGTTGGCAATGTGTCCAATCCTTTGGGACTGGAAGAACCTTTTATATAATGAACAAGATTTTCAGTAATCCTCATCATATTTGACTTGGCTGTCTGGGTGGGAGTCCAAGGCTGGGTTGCTTTAAGGGAGCTGTATTTCTGGCTTCTGTGTAACCAGTAAGGTGTTGTAGAAGTTGTTCTGTTGCTGGCTTCGTGAATCTAAGTATTAGAATAACCACCAGTTTGGGGGATCATCTGCCCCGTTCTTTGCAGTTTGCCCTGATTAAGCAACCTCAGTGACCCTCCTTAAGATTCTGATTACAAAGACAAAAACAGAAAGAGAATAAATAAATTTTTTGAAAAATATTTGACAGCTGCCCATCGTTTTCAAATTGCCATATAACTGTGCGCCAGAATATATGTGTTTTATTTTAAAGTCACTAATTCATATGGGTTGAAAAATAACCTTGAAAATATGAACTAAATGTTAGCTACTGCAAGACTGTCTGCATGAATCTGCAGAAAGGGTGAAACAGCAGCTTTAAATAGAAGTGAACTGCTCCAGTTATTTCAAATTGGGTGTTAACACAGAAACCTAAATAGGACAGTTTAAAACATCAAGACTATTAATTATTTCACTGGTGATCAAACTTTATAGAAAATGAGACAGAGTGAGAGCCAGCAGAGCCTAGAGCTCAGTTGTAGAGGCTAGAGTGGTAGGCTGGAACTGGCATGAGAAGACTGGAGGGGGAGAAGGGTGTAAACTGGGACCAGTTACACGTAAAGACTGACATTAGATCTGGGATGAGACCCGGGAGAGATTGTGGGATGGGGTGAGGGAATACGATCCAAGACTGGCATGAAGACAGGTTGGAGGAGACAGGAGCAAATGGGGTCAGGTTTTGTGGCGGAGGAGGAGTTGAAGGATTGTGACCACTAGAGAACACTTCCCTATAGAATCTGGAATGGAACCCTTTATTGTTCTGCTGTCAATAAATATTTGTGAAGCCTAATGGCCAAAATATATGTTTTGTTCTTTTCTAGTACTGGTCCAGATAGGATGACAATCTACTACTGT